AAGCAAACAAGGTACATGTAAGTGGGAATGGAGAATAGTGGTGGTTTGGAAGATGCACGTTTGCAAGATGCACCATCCTCATCATCCTTGCTCAAAATGCCAGATGGTCGGTTCTGTGACAATGGCTGGGGGGACAGAGCTGCCAAACTGTCAGGAGATCAGATCGCTTGCTTAAAAACAACCCAGCCTCTCTACTCTAAGGTTATGGTACTTTGAGCCTCATGGGGTAAATGGTCTGCTGGCTTTCATTCCTACTATGCTCTTATTTAATGAATCTTAATTACCTCTTAGCTGAATGACATTGCACAATTTAACTTATACAGTTTTGCTGAGGGTGAGAAGATTTGTACCAAATTTTTGAAAGCCAAGGGCACAGCTTTTAGTTTCAATATTGGTAGGGGCCAACCCCCCCCACCCCCCTAAACACACGGCACTCCTGCAGTATTGCTATAGACGTGTCTCTACCCTCTGTACCCAAATCTACAGCATTGCTGAGAGCTAAGCAATAGCTGTCACTGTTGCATTCTACATCCTTATGAAATATTCTCTTTTGCATGGATTCTTAAAATCGAAATAGATACACATACCTATGCACTGGACTTTAAATTATTATTTATAACGGGAGGGAAATATATAGGGTTGTATTTCTGGAATGGTCCTATGCAGGTATATATCACATGTGTTCCTTATCCGTACATTTAATGCAAACAAAACTAATGGATTTAAACAGCAGCTTGAGTCTTGTTTGATTTGAATATGAAAATCAATTCACCCTACAGCCGAGTCAAGGTTAATTAATTTGGAGCTCAGCAGGAGGGAATGCGTCTCTCTCTGTGGCCGGAGGGGACTCGATTTCCCATCAATGTGCTAAATGCTGAAATTCAGCCGAGTCAGCTTTGAGGGCATTCGTTCAATCCAGCTGTGTTGAAACGAGGCCCCTCAGTGCTGAACTCGTCTCTGTGTAGCGGTCTAGTTTTTTTTAAGACTTTCCCGTGCCTGAATTTGAACTATTTCAGCTCTGTTTTTGCTAGTAGCCAAAGACCCTACCTTACATCATCGTTTTCCTTCTCCAAATACACAGCAGATGGATAAACAGATACGTAAAAGCAGGTTGAGGTCGGGGTGACTCCCGTAGCATTTGCTCGCCGCTGAATCTCACCGCCTGATTAGATGCGGTCGGTGGGCTTAAGAAGAGGGAATGTTTTTAAATACCGTTTACGGCCCCCCGTCCACAGCACGACGAGATAGCCGTACAGAGATGCCCTTCCCAGATCTTCTGAATGTCACCTCTGAAGAAACCTCACCATTCTGCTTGCTGTGTTTTTTTTCTGAAACTCTGATACTGTACCTGCAGTATTTCATGTGTTACAGTTGGTGGAAAAAAGTGGTGACCCGTTTAAAACAACGATTTCAGTATTATTGTCAGAACGCATCAATCGTTACCTAGAATAACTTACTGTTACCTTATTAGCTTCCTTATTTACTGTGGTAGACATTTATCTTAGCCTGGCTCTCTGGGCGTTGAAGCTTGTTGATGGCATATCGATTGTGAGAAATTCTAAGCCCACCTTCAGCGGCAGACTCCAGGTCTTGTGGTAGGGAAAGCCCCCCCACCCCCACCCCCAGGGAAGGTCTTGTCTCACCCTGGATCCTCCCATAAACGTCACCCGTTCGACGTTTACCGCTTCTATCGGAAAACAATTATGCCTAATTATGCTTTATGGGGGGGGCTTTCTTGCTGTAAGGGGGGGGGGGGGTTTCTTGTTGTAAGCCGCCGTCTAATTACCCATCATGCCTCCTGCTGGCCTCTCCTCCAGCTCGCTCTCGACCCTTCTGTCTGTCGGAGCCAAAGCCGATTACTGCAACACCCCAGTTCCTCAGTAATACAGGCTAGTTCCAGAAAGCTCACCCCCCCACCCTCCCCCCACCACGCATCACAGTCTCTCAGAGACTTACAAGGAACTCTAGGTGCCCCATACCGCTATGCTTCCAAGAATTTATTTAATTACCTACTGTCATTTTTTTTAGTTCCTAAAACAATTGTCAGAGGAAGATTGCAGCCCGATTCCATGTCTCTGGCGTCCCCTGGGTGCCTCTCAGTCACTGAGAGTTTCCAGTTCACAGCTGTTAACTTCATTCTCTCTCTGTTACGTCCCCAGCATTATGTTAACATTTCTCAAGCACAGGTCACTTTAGCACACACTGTTGATGCTGAGACGCTGTCCCTGTGTCACCCTGAGAAAAACAACATAAAAGCTGTCTGCCCGCTCTTCTGGTCTTATGTTTTTCGTTTTGCAAAGGGCATTTGTGACCCACCTCGATCGGGGATGACCTCCCTCCTCCCGTCTTGCACCCAGTGACTCCTCGCTTGCAGTGCCAGACAGGAACAAACATCATTTCATAGCAGTGATTGATTTTGGAGGGGGAGGGCATCTTTGTTGCCATCTGCTGCTCTCTTGGTATCTGATGCTGGCTCTTCTCCTCAGGAGATGAAGCTCACTCCTGCCCCTATCCATCTCTTCCTCCTGCCCCCCCTCCCCCACCTCTTCTCTGCTCTTTTATCCTCCCTGTCTCTCTCTGGATGGCCATCTCTCTTGACCAGCGGGCCAGTTGCCCTTGTTTGCAGGTGATGGATCATCAGAGCTAAGCCTTGGTTCAACGTCCAGCTTCCCTTCCCTCTCATCCCTCCAGCCTTTCACCCTCATGTTGGCCTCAGCATCTAAAAAGGGATCAGACCCGTCAAATTAACTAGGCAAACCAAACAACTGGCCAGAGTGGTAATCAGGATAGAATTCCTGGTGGGCCAGTAACGTTCCAGGCTGATTCCTTCACTGTCTCCCATGTACCCATGTATAGCCTAAACACATGCTTGCATTCACAACGTCGCAACTGTGGTCACGAGCAATTCTCTGTTTTCAGCAGAGTGCATGGACGGCCCCTCCTGAAGTGGTACAACACTGTGTTGCCTTGAATCTCGGCTAATTTCATAGAACATCTATGAACTCATGTAATAGCCAGTGGGGATGGACAGCGACTGCAATAAGAGAAAGGAGGAAGGTGGAATGAAAAGGAACAAAACTCCGGGGAAGGATGCAGTTCGATGCTGTAAGATAACAGATATCAAACAGATATCGGGCATGGAGTGAAACCACAGCAGGGGGGACAGTGTGGACGGCCTGCCGGGAAATTGTGACACTGCTGACATCAGGATTGAGGGACTTCCCTGACATTAGTAACCAGCGTATAGCTGTCATGATTAGCATATGTCACACTTTCCATGGAACTTTCCCCATCTTTCCTTTTATCTCTAGCTAACCAGCTCAGTCATCATGCAGTAACAGATAAATGGGAGCCAGCATTGAGTAAAATAACCAGATTTTAGTGAAAGTGGCTGTCAGGCACACTGCACAGTGGTATGACGCCGGTTTTAGGAGCAAGCTGCAGTGTTGCAGAAAATGACCCGACAAGCTTGAAATGCTGTTATGATTGCAGCATATGGAGAAAGCAAGGCAAAGAAGTGTGACGATATGTAGGTATTCTTATTGTATAATGTAAATATATGCCATACCGTTACTATGGTATTATGGCCAATAATTCTCAATGAAACCAAGTAGTTTTCTGTAGCTGCGTATTTAGTTATGTGGAAACACTCTTTATTAATCGCCGCTTTTATGTCATTAAAGATGACACTGGTCCTGTAGGAAAGTGGAGAGGAACGTGGGACCCCAAGGTCCACAACAGAGATGGGGAGGGCTGAGGGGGACAGAGAAGGAGACTCCCAGTGAAAGACCCCCTCAGAGAAAAGTGCCATAAGCTGATTTTTACATTTTGTACAAAACTGGAATGGACTTTGAGTTAATTTCTCAGTTGTGTCACAGTTTGTGTTTGGCTGTGTTTGGGCATGATGAGCGTCCAGTTTAGTTTGGTAGATCACAGTGTAATTTATAGAAAAACAGTCTCTGTCCCCATCCCACTTTTGGGGTGGACTGGTCTGCATCATCGCTCCGAATGAGTAGCGGAGCCTGAGCCCAGTGCACCCTTTGGGGGTGATGAGGACCACGAGAGGTCAGCTTGCTCTCTGTCAGCTCGCACGCTGACTGAGCTCCGCGGCCTAAGCGGTGATATACTTTACTGAGTTTCTCTAAACAACGCTGCCATTGTATCAGATGTCTCCTCATTTGCCTTGGCCTCCGAATGATGCCGGTGTTCTTTTCAGCATCACTTAACCCAAACAGGCACAAGGCTTGCTTTGTCCTTGAATAAACCTCTCCGGCTGAACTCGCAGATCTCCCAGGCGCTCCAGCGGAGATGGCAGGCCCGTTTTTGCCGGGGTGGGTGCCGTGCCTGAATGTCAAGATGTACATTTTATTCTGGTGACTCTGCATCGTACCCTGGCCTGACCGATTTGGCTGGGCTCCCTGTTACATCCTGGCAGAAGCAGGTGAATCACAGTGATGCTCAGCGGGTTAGTGGCCTGTGATCCGAAGGTTGCCATCTTGAATCCTGTGGTTGGGGCCTTGAGCTCCTGACAAAGGCCCCAGAGGTGCTGGATAAATGACTGACCCTGCACTTGCACCCTGTATGTGTGTGTATGTCTTTAAAAAATCATCAGAGCATCATGGGATATGCGAAAGCTACAGAATACCTATGTATCTGTACTCTTACTTGTGCAAGTGTCAAATAAAGCAGCATGATTTCAGATGCCTTGTAAGGGCTTCCTCTTTTGTGTGTGGGGGGGGGGACTGAAAACAGAGTGACATTTAAGCTTGAGCATCAGTCTTTTAATATGACTTGCTGTAAGTGCCGCTTGTCAACTGAAAACCTGGAAGAGGTTGTGCACATTTTCTGCCTGGCAGAGCACCATGAAACCCAGACATTGCCTGTGTTAGCCACGTAGACCGCGGATGTTACACTTCACGGTTCTGCAAACGGTTTGTCCCAGCACTAGGATAACGAGGCAGGGGGTGGCAGTGGTAATGATGTAATGGTTCTTGTCTCAGATGGGGAGAAGCAGACGGAGGAGACGGACGGCACCCGCAAGCGAGACATGCGCCCCTCGCCTGGACACCATAAGAGGGAGGAGCATGGAGACAGCCGCGAGGACGAGGTCGCGGTGAGTGACATGCGAGAGGCAGGAGGTGGAGAGGCGGGTCACTGAGCCAGTGGGGCCCGACTGTCCCGGGGGGCCCCGACTGTCCCGAGGGCCCCGACTGTCCCGGAGGGCCCCGTATACAAAGCTGTGCACCTCGCCGGTCGTAGGGCAGGATAATCGATAGCTGGGTTTGCTGTTCTCGTGGTGCCCATAGTGACCCATCCCTGCAGACAGCAGTCTGCTCACATTCCTGCTGCTGCTTTGGTGCAAATCTGTCTCCTGAACAGGCTGAACTTCAGAGCAAAAGGGGCCTTAACGGTTATAACAATATCCAGATCATTAGTTGACTTACACACACACACACAAACACACGCACGCACCTTTGTATTCATATCTTTATGGGGACTCTCCATTTCTATGGGGGAAAACCCTAATCCCAACAATGGCAACCTTAACCCCTACCCAGCCCTAACCTTAACCATAAGTAACCAAACAAAAAACAAGACATTTGGCATTTTTAGTTTTTTTGATTGCAGTCACAGATTCTTATAAAATTGAGTTAAAATTGTGCCCTTCTGAGGACTGAAAAACATACCCACAACATCAAAATAACACAGGTTTTTGTGATGGCGAGAGGACATTTGGTCCCCACAATGTAAAATAAACATCCCCCCCCCCCCCCACACACACACACACACATCTTTACTCTTTAATCCACACACTTTAATTACCATCAAACATTGGCACTGGTATGATTAATACTTAATTCCTTGATATTAAAGAGGACTGCGGGATTACATGAGTTATAATGAAAAGGATTAGATGCAGGAGATGTGTGTGAATGATGGGACTGTGTTTGTATGTTAATGCCGCACAGGAGGTGACGTGTACCTGAATAAAGAATGCGAGGATGGACGAGAATCTGCAGTGTGATTACCACACATTTGTCATTCCTAAAGTGATCGCCCGGAACAGAACAGCACGTACCCTAAATCCCCCCATTGGGTCAGCAGGACGAAAGCAAGTCAGTTAAATGCGGTGATTGTAGACTGGCCTCACCAAAGTTTCATAAACCACCCTTAACACATCTTTTTTCCCTCAGGTTTGACAGCTGTAGAAAAATAGCGACTGTGTTATTAGACAGGTTGTTCAATTTATATGTGATTTCACAGTTACTCTTCTAGGTCACGTGCTTTTAGTCACGGGAGACAGGAAATATTTCAACTGCAGCCTATCACAGAAATGCAGCTGGAGACCCCGGTGAATCCCCTTTAGTTATGCTTGTTTACCATTGAATAGGAACTTTTAAAACCAACCAGCTTTTATTTTTATGTACTTGAAACCTCGAACTAACAAAGATATTCCGCATCGCCCAATAGGCATTGTTATGGTTGTGGTGGTGATTCTAGTCGACCAATCAGAATATTTCTATGGCTCTTGTTCATTACTCTCTCTGAGGCAAAATGTGGTGCTGTGATCTCATGTGGGAACCCTTCAGTATGCTGTCTGCCCTCGGAATGGGGGGCATTGCAGGCATCATCAATGTCCTCCTAGGAGATCCCTCTGCGGTCAGTTATGTCAATTCGCCATGTACTACTGCTGCCCCCATTAAGAGAGAATAAGGTAGGGGAACATGAAGCAACAGGGGGCAGAGGAGGAAGAAGGAGAGTGTCAGACCTTTCCAGATCGCTGCCACCATCGTATGGATGAAAAGGAGCTTGACCAGCTGTGAATATGGGGGTGAGCATTACGGGTCATTTCCTGTAAGTGGATGGCCGCACGTTGCCTAGTTTTTGCAAACAGTCCCCCCCCCCCACCCCCCATCCTTTGTTCAGGCTAGCACCATATGAGAATTCTCTGGGTCAGATGGAGAATCCAGTTTGAGACACATCGGCTTGAGTTGGTTACAGCCTCCAGCAGCAGCCAATGGCTGGAGCCGGCGGGGTCATGTGATCTGCAGCGTGTTCTAGTCCTGCCCCCTGGGGTGTCTTCCTCCAATTAGGTGTGAGTCACCGCCCTGTGGTCCCCTCAGGCCTGATTAAATGGAGGATGGGCCACCTCTCCTTTGCTCGTCTCCCTTTGTCAGGCACTAACCTTGGGGCGGACAAGTTGCCCATAAGGGGCTGTGGTCTTTTCAACCAGCAGGTCGAGGCAGCCTCATAAATATTCATGACGTTCCCGCGCGTTGCCTGAGATGACACTTCTTTCATTTCGGCGCTCAGCGGGCATAGCAGCAGTGTCACGCTAATCCACAAATAGCCACCTGGACAGCCCCTAGGCAACTAGGGGGAGGTGAGGATTCACCAAACTCAATGTCCTCGTCCTTAGCTCTGGAACCTCGTCCCTATTCTTCTTGCATTGCAGCTTTTCTTTTCTCCCAGACTCAAGGGGGGGGGGGGAGGGGGTTTGTCATGTGACCCCACAAGTTACCCCTGACAACAAGATGATTCACCAAGGTAGCCTTGGCCATTGCCTGTCCAACAGCCTCCCCAACCTTATTATGTTATATTGGAGAAAATCAAATCATCGCGTTGGTTACTATTGACAGAATTCACATTAGCCGGGCACATGGGTTTGGCAATACGTGTGATAGCCCCTTAAACATCACTTAGCTTTGTGGAGATGACTGCGAGTTCAGGTCTCAGGGAGGATGACGTTTTCTGGTGGAGTCCGTAATGTTTCTGCTGCACAGGGGACTCAAGCATGTAATAGGCTGAGCGACGAATGTAATTATTTCTAACGTTATGGCGCAGTACTCTTCCCTGATCAAATGTACCCAAAGCAGAAAGCAATAACGGCAGGTTTGTGGGACTCAAAGCCTCGGGTGAGTGAGGTGAAAAGCATATTCTCTGGGCTGTCTTCATAGAACATGGTTCCTTTATTTGCAACCAGGGCCAAGAGAAGGAATGACTTTTAGACCTTGGATTTAACAGATATACCCTGAATTACCAATGCCAAAAAATGCCAGATTTAGGAGAGCTGGGGATGTATGAACAGCTGGAGAATGGCGATACAGCTGGGGGGGTGGTGGTGGGGTGATAATATAATTTTTGCAGTGAAATATGTTGATGGCCATCTATGGCGTTGTGTATGTTAAGAGTGCAAACGGTCTCCGTCGCCGATTCACTGGAGCATAGACACTTATCTATTCATTGGCTCAATATCTCTGTATATATCATTCCCAGCAGAGTAGCTACAAAGCGCTTAACGAAGATTTAGCAGCGAAAATGATGTGGATGTAACAGATGGATGTAATGGAGCTTAACGCCATACAGTCTGCGAGAGAGTGCCAGAACACAACAGAGGAGAGCTAACAAAGTTATGTACTACTGCAGACCCGATCCATCCATCCCTCCACACATCCATCCATCCCTCCATCTATCCATCCCTCCATACATCCACCAGTCAAACGTCTTTGCTCACCACAGGTTTTTACCACTTTTCCATGTATTTCATAAACTGCACATTTTTATTCTTGTTAAGCATTGGAAAGTTGACTGAACAACTATAAATAAAAACATAAGTCAAATAAAACAGGTTTTTTTATAACATGGAAAGAGTGTGCATGTCTGAATCTCTGTTAACTGGTTGTGTGGTGATGGCAAGGTCAAATTCTAGGCTGTCCTTTAACTTTAAATACACTTGTTAACTGTTTCATCTCCTGAAACAGAGCAGTATTTAATGTCTCTTGTAGATCGAATGCCTTGAATTTTCTCTGCTCTTTTAACTGCTAGAGGTTACTTTCTTGAATCAAAGATGTGACATTTTCTTGTCAGTAAAGGTCCTCAGATGATGAACATACTGTGTGCAGAAACTTTTGACTGGTAGTGTATCTCTAACCTTTTCTTCCTGGTCAGGTTTCTAGGTAGCATAAGTCACAAGACTGAGGAACACCGTGGACGGGAAGCCAGTAGTTATGGACCCAACTTAGGAGAAATCAAGTCCGCAGCTTTCTCAGCTGGCCCTCCTGGGTACACTGTCCTTATCCAAGTCGTGTGACTGTCAGGCCAGCCGCTAAGTCTGTGAGCCAACGGGAGGTGATCCTGTATCTCTGATGTGGTCTAAGGCTCTCGGCTTTGCGGCTCACGCTCAGGTCCCCCGGTGCAGTCCTGTCCAGGCTTGGGAGAGTGGAAAGACACCTATCGAAGGTCAATACTGCTGTGGAAATATGAGATAGATGAAGATACATGTACTGCTGCAACAGCAGTGTTATTTAAGGTAAGCTAGACTGAAATAGTAGGTCTTGGGTCTACAGTTAAACACAGAGACAGAGGGTGAATGCTTTACATCGACTAGCAGATGGTGCCTAACACAGAGAACTATCCATTTTATCAGCAATAGCTCTTTTATTTATTTGAAGAATTACAATCAGATCTGTATCCTTCATTCAGAGCAAACATTCTAGATTGTACACATTTATCAGCTTAGATAAGTGCAAGCCTGACCTTTCATTCAGACCCAAGTTTTGAAGACCATCCTGTAAAGTAACAAGAAGCCTGTGAAGAGTCTTGAGAATTGGTTAAATGGCGTCACATTTTATACTTCTGGTTAAGATTCTTGCTGCGGGTTTCAAATACTCTGCAGAGCAGAGACTGTGTGATTCGTACTACTGAGAATGAAGGCAGTGCGGCAATCTGATCTGCAGCAAAGGCATGTTAGAATTTCTGCTTTACCTTGGGCAGTATGACGATGACTTGGATTTGCACGCTTTCTGAGCTGCGGGTTTCGTAGATGTATGTTTAAAATTAATATTAAAGCGTCACATTGTGAGTCAGCACAGCAAAACAAAAGTTTAGGCCCATCAAGCTGGCGAGAACGTATTTTCATTGACGTTACTCCTTTTTAGGGTATAGAGACCTTTAAACTTAATTGAAGCAGTATTCCTGGGAGACTGTGGGCCAAATTAGGTTCGAGTACATTTATGTGACGTCAGCATATGAATAAGAATTAATTTTATGCTTTATCAGGTTTCTAAGCTACATCATTTATCTTCCCAAGTGGGGGCATGCAGGAGAATTGCT